TGTAACTGAATGCATCTGTTTCTGATGTTTTACCTCCAGGTGGACGACAACGTCAGCGTGGTCCTGCTCAGTGAAATCGTTTGGGACAAGTTCAGACCAAACACCGGCTGCTTCGAGCCGCTCCTGCTTCATTTCCCAGACTACAGTAAAGGTATCGGTCTCTCTGCATATTGGAGGAGGCGGAGTACCTGTGATATTCTCCCAGCAACTCAGCCAGTGACAGCAGGAACATGTCTGATAGGAATCATGAACTGTGTTGATGTGCTGCCCTGTTTTGGAGTCCTCTAAAATCTCCTCAGACACTGATTTTTCTGCATTTTAACTCCTCCTTACCAAAGACATAAAATAAGAGTAGACCCCGCATCAACCGCTTTTATCTATGAGCACTGACGTGATTTGGTGCCGCCATCTTGAGGAGGTCGGCAGCTCGGCTCAGTGTAATTGTTGAGCAGGAACAGGATCCGTTTTAATCAACTTTAACTCTCTGAATATCAAACTAATTTTCACAGTTTAGGTTTTTTTTCCTGAAAAAACAAAAATAGATCAGTTTATTGAAATATTCTTAGTGGGTTTTTTTTATTTTTTTATTACTATAAACAGAAACATATTTATACAGGTATCCTCATACTGTAAATATGTCCACTGCTGTATTAATTATCTATTATTCAGATAAACAGTATTTATATGTTTTGTTTTTTTATTTATAGTGTTTTATTTTTATGTATTTATTTTTATTTACAGCACTTTGGTCAGCTGTGTTTTTTAATTTTGTTTCTTTTAAGTGCTTAACAAATAAAATTTGATTTTTTTTTTTTTTTTCATTATTACTCTGTCACTTATTCTATTATTTTTATGCACTTTATAAGGTCCAGATTTGTGTGACCACTTTTGCTGTAATCATTTGTTGCCGGAACGCCACAATTTACCCACTGTGGGACAACAGAGGGAGTTTCTATTCTATGTAGTGTATATCTGCTGTTTATTTAGTGATGTCTTCCAAAGCTCTGATGCCTTCATGAAGTTCTCCCTCGAGGTCTGATGTTAACAGCCTGTTCGTTTAGACAAAAATTCATTGAGGCATCCTTCTTCTGTTCTGCTTAAAGCAGCAGGTTAGGGTAGCAGATCGACCTCCCCAAGATGGCGCCCCTAATTATTCTACTCTTAAATATGTGTATGCTTCTCACTGTCACTAACCGATCCATCCCAGAACGACGATCAGTCCTGCTCATGTGCGAATAGATATACATCCAGGTGTCCATAAATATTTTAATTATAGTACTTAGATTACTTTTTTCAAACTTTACACATCTTTAAAAAAAAAAAGTTTTAGAAGTTTTGTGGGACAATTATGATGCCTTTCTACATTTTCTTCGTGAAACTGATTATCTGAGGTCGTCATTGGAAATGCTCAGAGTGTTCATGTTCATCTGCATTTTAGTTTTTTCATTCTTTATAGCATAATGTTAAGATGAAAGCAAAAAATAAAAATTAAAAAGACTAGAATTATGTTTAAATCCAAAGCTGAAAAAGTTAGCGACCGGATCTCATTTCCGGTGCAGATCGGGCTCAGAGTGATAAAACAGGATTTAAATGCATTTATTTTCTCAGGAAATACATTATTAACCTGTAACACATGATATTTTATAGACTTACTATTTTTGCGGAGGGAAAAACGTCATTTATGTCATTTTAACAAAATAAAATCGAGGGCGACCCGGATATATATATCTGGATGCACAAATGAGCTGATGGTGCATACGCAGAATGGAGCGTGCTTCCGGGACGTATCGGGTAGTGACACTCGCATCAGAAGTTAAGATTTTTATTTTTTTTTTATGTCAGACCCATGAAGCAAAAATTCTACAGATGAACCGTTAATGTCGACACCTAACAGAGAAATAGTTGAAGGATTCATTTCCTTTTAAAACCCTTTAATTTTTTACACATTTTAGCACTTTCTAGATAAAAAAAGTCTTACTGATCAACATACAGTTGGCTTGGGTTCAAAAAATATTCCTGAATGAAAATATGAGGGTAGCACCGTCACCTTGTCCATCTTCCTCCAAAGAGGCTAATTGGCCTAAAAATTAGCAATAAATGTTTTTTTCTTTGTCTCTTTAAACTTCATTTCTCCAACTTGTATCTGTTTTGTAGGCGAGCTGCAGCAGATTCTCTCCAAAGACTGCCATCCATCGTATTCAGCAGAGTTTTACTCCTCCTACATCAACATCCTGCTGGGGGTCTTTTACACCGTCTGTCGGGACCTCAGAGAGCTGCGGCACCTGGTCAGAACCGCACAGCTTCACTGATCGCTGCAGCGTTTTTTATTTTTTCATATTTTAATCAGTAACCTTTTCTGTATTTCTGCTCCGTTTCCACCAGGCGGCGCTCAACTTTTCAAAATTCTGTGAACCCGTTGCTGCTGGAAAAGGTAAAAAAAAAAAAAACGGATTCATGAACATCATGAAAAAGTTCAGTCTTTACAGAATTGAAACTCGAATACTCCCCAGTCTTCTTTTTTCTTGAGTTGTACTGGTTCATTGTTTCCCACAGGAGTTTAGGAGACTCTGGTGGGAGAGTCTCTGACCCTCGGGGGTTTTGCACATTTTTAAGC